ACATGTTTCTATCTGCTTCCCAAACAGAACGATACATTCTGACAGCAGTTGTGTAGAAATATATCTGTATATTTATTAATATAGCTGCAATTTTGACATTATTTCGACAAATTATTCCGCATAATAGTATCTTATTTTGAAAATACGGACGTTGTGCTCGTGTCTTTTCCTGTTGGTGTGACGTAATCTTTAAAAATTGACTCCAGCGCTGCTCCGGCATCCGTCAAAAATAGAATCTGTTCTAATTTTGCCAGATCGCCATCCGCTCATCGCCGCCCTGCGCAGCCAGTGTAAACACTCTCATTGATTAGAATGGCTGCGTATTTGCTGCGGAGGTCGGACCGGAGCGGAGCGGAGACGTAACGCAAGTAATGTAAATTAGGGGTTACTGGTAAATGTTTGAATGGACATGTCTGCCATTACCATATCAATGAGTATGTATATATACTACGCTTTTATCTTTTTAAGAAATCCTGATAAAAAACATTGTCATTGAGAGAAGATTACACCAAAGAAGCAACACATTAAAATCAAAGAAAAAATATGACAGACTGTCATTAATTTGAGCTCATTTAGTGTTTCTCAGTGTGCAGGATGTTGCAAGGCATTTGTGTTAATGAGCTACATCATTCATGTGAAATGATGGCACAATTAGGAAAACAAAAGTGCAAGGTGTGACAATTTAAGTGAATGTGCTTTGTCAGTGTCTTCAAACAACACCTCMGAGACAGTGAATGCATAAAAGCCGGCTCAAAAGAACATTGCGGGGGGCTTAGGGGTCGAGTTTTTCACCAGCACATTTCTGCCTAGCTATTCTGTACCCTAACTACACTCCCACAAAAAAATAAAAAATAAAAAAATAAAAAAATAAAATAAATAAATAAAAAATCCCCTGCTTAAACACTGTGGCAAGAAATGAATTTAAGGCTGCTAATTCAGATGTTTTGATTCATGCTCGGTGTGTGCATGGCTGTGCTCCTCTTAGGAAAAATAAAGTCTGAAAGACGAGGTCTGGCAGCTGCACCCCGGCAGCATGAAACCTTGCAGGATTTGTAAATGTTGTCTCTCCCCTTCCCTCCAAGAGTCACTCACCTCAGGGATCAAGAGGCTTATATGAAAGGTGACTTACAGCAGAGCAAGTGCTCTGTCTATTGATGTGAATAACATCAACCTTCTTGGCACTGGTTGGAACAAAACCCACTTTTCTCTGATCTTTTTTTCCCCTTCCCTACCTTGTAAATGCATTTTTTTAATCGACCCAGCGAAGGATTTTCCYTGCGCTTCTGTCCACGGATGTTTGAACAGCCTTACCTAGCACTGTCAGACTCATTAGTTATACCAGCCTGTGCAGCGAGTGGGCTCTAACTACTCAGCTTAGCCTGTGATGCAGCTTTAGTGAACTAACGAAACTGTAATTACAAAAATAATGAGGAACATGCTGCGTCATCTACTGACTTTAGGGCTAGCTGTTTGAGAGAATGAAGCATACAGTTTCTTTTCCAATTTTTTATTGATTTTTGATTCCCCCCACCCCCACCCCCCCACTTTCCCACACTTATGAAACATGCATTCAGAGCACATGCAGCTTCTTTGTTCTGCRAATTTAAAACTTCAGGGAAAAAATATGCTGCATTTGAGGTGTTTATATGATGCATTTGTGATGTATAACAAGGAACTATGTAGGCTGTGTTCCATTTCCTGTGCTAGTWATAAACTTATTGTCCCCAGCGGGCCTCATTTAGCCAAGTGCGGGCAATGTTGAGCCACGTTTAGTATCTGCCTTCACTACTTTCAGCAGAAGGCAGCAGCAAAAACACATTATAGCCATGTCGAACACTTATCTGCATTTGCATGATGAGATCTTTGTAAAACAGCTGAGTAAATCAACAAGTATTCATTTAAATATGCATTTGCAAAGTCGAAATACTTAATATTTTGTCTTGTCTCTTATTTTTGTTTCAGCTACACACAGACTTGGACGTTGGCAACAAGAACATCAAATACGTTCTTGCAGGTGAGGGAGCAGGCACCATTTTTGCAATCAATGAGTTAACGGGGGACATCCACGCCATGAAGAGGCTGGACCGTGAGGAGAAAGCTGAGTACACGCTAACAGCACAGGTCGTTAACGCCGACACGGACGAGCCTTTGGAGCCACCGTCGGAGTTCATCATTAAAGTTCAGGACATAAACGACAATTCACCACAGTTCGTTGAAGGCCCGTACCGAGCATCAGTTCCAGAAATGTCTGCTGTTGGTAAGTCACAGTTGACAGACCTCATTCCTTCCCTCCGCCGCACACAGCAGCCTAATCAGTGGTGTGAGAGATCCAAGACGGCTGATGTACTAATGACCTATCGCAAAACAATAATGTGTAAATCAGGACAAGAGGAAATGAGTGTGCCTGTTTACACGTGTGCCTGCAATGAGCATCTTAGCAAATGAAAATATAAGAACAATGAATCAAATCAATTCTTAGACRGAGCTACAACTAGTGACTATGTCAGCACTCACACATTATTTTTCATTCATAGTCAAAACAAAGAATAGCATGATTAAATGTATAGTGTTTTAAAATAAGAATTGAATAAAAGCAATCATGACCCACAGAGAGTTTGTGTGCACACTATCAGTTTGTCACTTGGTGAAAAAAAAAAGTCAGTAAGCTGAACAATTCAGATGAGTGTTGTTGCATTGCAGTATAGAATGACTTCTTCATTTTATTTTTTTTTTGTTTGATTTGTAATTAAATATCAGATGGCTTTTAAGTTTACATTCCACTTTGCGGTTGTCTCCCTTAATCAAACAAAGTCTCATTTGCTCAGTTTGTGAAAGGATTTACATTTTTTCTCTTTTATTTAGCACTTTTCATTGCTATTGTGCCAAGTTTCTAAAAGAAAGATTGCCTTTTTGATGTGATGTACGATCATGGCCTTCACACCGGAGTCTGCATTACTATGTAATTTGGTTACATTAAAAAACAATTGTAAATAACAAATAGCAGTGCTATGACTGTAAGAGCCCCTATATTCTTAGAACATGGCTGCATGGCTGCAAATACGTAAAACTTCAAGTGCAAAAGCAAACCGGATGCAACAATGCTTTTAGTCATCCCAAAATTATTTACTTTCTATTTTTTGTCCTCAAGAACATGCTGTACTTCAATCCTGGCGTAATTACCTCTGCAACATCAGGAAGCAAGTATGTTCTAAAAGATCAGTGYTACACTATTATCTCGAGTATCACGTCTACTATAGGGTGTTTCCATGATTTTGTTATGGTCACAGCTAGACTGCTGTTGAGGTCCATCCCTCTTGACCAAGCTACGTGGGTGCATATGTGTAACATGTCATTGATAAACTGCAATCACCATTAAAATGCTCTTCCTCAGTATGTTGATACATTACCACCACAACAACAAACCACCAAAACCTTGTTACAGAAGTTTTGTGCATGTTCAAAACCGCTTTGAACTTTTCATGCTCTATGTTTCCTACTTAACAGAGAGCTCACAGCTTTCCCACTCAAAGGACTTGCCAAGACCCTGCAAAGAGCAGATTGTTTTTTTTTTTTTTACATTTTAGAAGTGAGCTTTAGTAAAATTACCCATTTTAGTACTACCAAAATGAGGCGGTTATCACTGGTAGCTGAAAATAAAATAAACACAGCCAATAGAAAGCAGCATTAAACTACAATCATTTTTATTGAGGAGATGCCATAATTGACACTGACTGCTACAAACTGCCCTTCTTAATGTGCCCCACCAACACACAAACCACCCCTGCTCTACCAACCCTTTGTAGCCCTCTTCACAGACACAAAATCCACACACACAGACTCACACAAAGTAGACAAGCCACTCCAAGGGCTTTCCTCAATATTGTATGCTAATGAATTCAGATKTTCTCATTCTTAATTTAGTTATGCTTTGACTTGCCCCTTTGTAATAACTCACAGGTCATAAAGAATTGGCAGAAGCCTGTCAGTCGACRATTTCCCTCTTTTTTTAACTTCTAGACAAACTCACCGCTGACCCCAGATCAGCAGGAGTCTTGTAAAAATGTTTCCATCAGTAGCAGGAAAGAGATCAGAGTGTGTCTTTATGCCGTTTTGACATTGGTGGAGCTCAGTGAGAATGTGGAGGTCTGTTGCCGGGCGGTAAGCGCTTGTTATTGTGTTTCCTCATCGAGCTGCCTCTTGTTACCTGTCATGGAGCTGACATAACATGCAAGGGCAGATGGTGTTAGGTGTGTAATGGAATCTGTTTGGTAAATCCCATCTGTAAGACACTGCCTTTTTTTAGAAGCAACAGTGATTTAGCTCAACTACTCATGATGCCTGTAGCTGATTCTTATTAGCTACTGCAGCAGTGGAAGCAAAAAAGGAACAAAAAGATGTCRTAAAAGTACCCATGTAAACATTGAGTAACAGCAAACTCTTTTTGTCTGAACTATGTTACGTGATCCCCACTGCTCCCTCCTTTGGATTTCAGCTGAACAGTTCTCCAAGGGTTTTGTCGGTGCAGTGCAGGGACAACCACAGAGACTGTGAAGAGAGCAAAGTTGTATTTGACAGCACTCTGTCATTTGCCAATGGGAATAACGCATCAGAAATGGAAATCGGCACCTCTTTGTTGATTGTTGTTCCCTTTTGTCACTACTGATTAATTAAACATTCACTGATGCTCAGTTGTTTGCTTTGAAAGGCTTTTTTTTTTTCCTTCAGAAGCGACTTTTCCTCTGCTTAAGTTTTCATGTGCCCCAGCATTATGGGAAAATGCTCCGGACAAACAAACAAAAAGTTGTTCATCTCTCTCATGTCATATTCATAAATCATCAATTTTGTTCCAGTGGTATTTCGTGTTTATCACGCTAGAATGAGAATGTGTGTGAGACTCAGTGGATTACTAGGAGTGTGTGTTGAGCGGAGGATAACTAATAAAGTCCACAGGAAAGGGAGCTGGAAAAAATTGGCGTTGGCGAAGTCGGCTGCATATGAGCAAATCTCTTTGAAAAACTGGGAAATATTCAAATGTAATTATGGCATGTGGAAAATATACTGCACTATGTCTGCTAGGGTACTGATGCATCTAAGCTTGTCATGAATCCACCTGCATCAGACAATCAAAAATCTAATCCAGACCGTAACTGTCTGCTTCTTCCTGTCGATGTTATCCACTTAGAGCGCTTGTCRGTTCTTCTCCAGACTTCATCAATGTCTTAGCAGCTCTGCGCTTATCAAGAGTGTATCCATTTGGTATCAGTGAGACCGGGGACAAATATCAACACCAACCTTTTATCTGCCAAGGACTACGGCAAGATAGAAACCCCCCATATTGAATGTCACCATCCACCAAAGGAAGCTTTTCCCACTGCCGGATGAGATATGTGACATGAGGCCACTGAGGTTGCCACGTTTCCTGTGTGCAGAGGAGCAGAGAGGTTAATGGGAAATGAAGGAGAAAGACCTTTTGTTCTTGCTTTAAAAGGGCTAGTCGGATAAGACGTGTGGCTTTCTGTGACTTTTCTCTGACTTTCACTCCCCTAAATGACTGAAAGTGAAGGTGACTATCGTTGTTTAGTGGATTTTCTATCTAAGTACAGTGGAACAATGACAGGAAGTGAAGAGCAAAGGTGGGGGGAAMATACTAGTCAGAGTGGAGTTCGATCTGATTAGTGTAAGCAACCAGGGTAAGTCTGTTATCAGGACGGATTTGGTGATGGGGTGTCTTATGAACGTGCTTTTTTTCTATGATGTGTTTTTAACAAAGTCACCAAAATRATATCATTTTACAGCTAAGAGAATATTTAAATATGTTTAATGCCTGACAGTGCAAGGCAGAGCATTAAAGAAGACTTGTGAATTATATCAGCCTGACGTATGTGCAGGTAAATGGATTTTAACTCCTGTGCAAAAGGTTAGTAAATGTATAGAAATTTATAAAAAAAAATTAATAATACATAAATGTAATAACATAGGAGTATTGCTTGCTAACAGCTTTCGCAAGACTCTTTTAAATTTGAAGCCTTGCTAAATGTAACCACAATAATTAGCTGTGTAGACAATATATATGTTCTTTTTTTTCTAGTAGTTCAGTAGTCCAATTGGGAATCAGTTTTTGGTAAGTGATTAATTTATCCCGATAAGTATTTGGAGAGTTACATGTTACATAGTTTGCTTTAAAGAGGCAATATCATGTGAAATTAACTTTTTTGAGTTTTATATCATGTTATAATGTTATCCTCTCATCAAAACCATTCCAGTCTTGCTTTGACTCGTTCATGCATACTTGAGAAAYCCTGTAGTRTTCTGAGGCAGCCAGGCAGGGGAGCAAAAGCAACCGGTTGGGCCTAGAACTGCCTTTTGGGATCAGCTTCCTCATCACAGAGCACACACACCAGAGGCGATTGCTCTAAGACTGCAAGGGAAGCTCAGTTTCCCCTATAATGTCCAAAAACTAAGTGATCAAATACATATTGTTGTGTGTACATGTCAATGACTAAATATRCACTACAACACGTTCAACTTTTGTTTAGAATCAGCTTCGTCTCACTGGTAACAATGCAGCTTTCCTCYCCCTCATTCCCGCAGCTTCACAGTGCTTTAAACAGCGTCCACAGAGTTCAATAGCAAAGGAAAGTGTGCAGCGAAATGAGACGAGTCATTGGATAAATGCTGGGCTTTGTCCCGCCCAGCGGACGCTCAGCATCTCTAGGGGTCTATGGGGCAGTGGGCCGGTCCGGACGCTCAGCCTCTGCATGATGATTGGATGATTTGTCTGAGGCTGAATCCCTTTTTGATTGGCAGCAAAATGAGCAAATCAGCAATATTTTTGGTGTAAACATCCATAGGAGCATTTTTAAATTTCATTATATTCTGAGTTGAACCAGAGAATTTCCTAATCCTCTTAGGTGCATTTTGTTTGTTAAAAAACAACTAGTGACAAATCAAGCTTCTATTTCTGGTGTTTTTTTTATTTTTATTTTTTGTAGCTGCTTGTGTTTGGAGATTGACTTCTTTCACTCTTTCTGATTTCTATCACAGTTTTTGACCAGCGGGTGCTGCTGAGCCCCTCCACCATCACAAAGCACTAATTTTCTTGGAAAGGAACGGAGGGTAGAATGTACATATAAATAAACCAACACATTTTATGATGTAGGCTGAAATTGAGCTTCCCCTCCTTGAAAGACCAGCATCTGCCACTGACCCCCCACCCCCACCCCCGCTGAAATGGACTGGACAGAAGCGGTAGGAGGT